GTTGTCTGCTTGCTGTCTAATTAAAACCTCTGATGGAGACATCTGATAATGGTTGAGTCTCTTCTTTCATTCATTCACTAGCGTGTAAATTAAGCTTGTTTTCTGCAAAGACAGGAGGGTTGATTAACTAGAGGCAAAAGGCAGTTCACTTTGGAAGGAAGTGGCACTTTGCAAGGAAATTTGCCAAGGATTAAAGGAGAAGTATAGCCAAAGCTATTTTTGGTATACTTCTCCTGCAGGTCCCAGAAGTGCAGTTCATTCTGCACTCCTGTGATCTGTTTTCAGTCAACAGCTGTCAATGGACATCACTCAGCAGGTCCAGGCTCTGAAAAGATCACATATGGTCCACCCAGAAATCTGGATAGGTACCTGGCTCAGCCTCTCAGTGATCCGCTGAGAGCCTGAGCCAGCAGCACCCACCCCCCTCCACAGCCCAGTGCTCCAGTAAGTACTGGAGAGGCAGAGTCAGAGAGGCAGTTGCGGCTCTCTGCTCAGAGTGAAGGGGGAAAACTGAGAATTCAGCGATGTTTGATTGCTCAGTTCTCATTGCATAGCCAACAGGGGACAGATACAGCATCAGACTGATGCTGCATCCACCTGAGTATATATATATATATATATATATATTGCACATACTTCTCTTTTAAGCTCTGGGTAAACTTCCCTTGGAATGTGCAGCTTCCCTTGCAGTGCAAACATCCGATTTGCCTTTAGATCATCAACTTCAGGGTTTTTACATCAGGTGGTAAGATGAATCAGGAAAACATTAAAAAGGTGCTAAAGGCACCACCTGCTGGCTAACAATAAGAATGCATCATATGTACTATTTAAAAAAATATATACAGTACTTAAGTCCTGACCATGATAAAAACAATTATTACAAAACCACTTTATCTTCCCTGTAAATCCACTTTAACTAAAAGGCTAAAGGTGCCAATGTTATCTATGGGGGGTTGTTAGACAAAAGGAGCATCATCAATTACTACAAAGAGGTGTTTTCAGGCAAATTGGAAATGTCATTTCCACAATTAAAGTATAAAGAAAAAACATGACCCACATCTATTCACAAACATTCATTAGAATATTACATACGCTTCATCAAACATTATCTTCGTTCTTCGAGAATCGGTATCGCCATTGTTTAATGCAGGTATTGATGACCATACATCAGGCTCTATGTGATGCAGGATAGTTTCAAGGCCACTGCTTTGTGGTCTCCTGTGCTCATCTTCCTGTAAATACAAGATAAATGGCTCAGAGTACAGAGAATGCATCTGTCTGAAAAATAAAGTTTTTAAAATTACGGAGCAGACAAAGCTAAGTAACAACAGAAAAAGAAACTAAACATATGAGTATGTGTGTCACCTTGGCAGAGTAGAGTACTTTTCAGACATTGGGGCTTTGGGGTCATTTTGCCTTTTTCCACCTGCACTGAGATTTGCAGCACCTATTTAAATCTGTTTCTTCTTTTAGACTGGCAGTGATGGCAATGATACCAAGTTTAGTAAACACCATAAAATAATTTCAGTCTGATAAAACTTCTAAACAACAAAATGATCCCCATGCAACATTACAAATTGTATGGACAATGTACCTACTCCCTGCTTTAAGGAATAAGGACACTTTGATGTCTGAGAATAAAAAAGCTAATGCAAAGAGCAATAATATGAAGTAATCAATAGCAACTACTCAAAGTCAGCTTTAAGCAGTTTAGGCACACTAAAATTAACTTTAATTTTGATTGTAAGCTAACTTGTACAGATCATCACTTGGTTTACTAAGTAGCTGAAGTATGAGTCCTACCCAAAACGTCTTTTAAGGTTTGGAAGCAATAGGGAAAAGTTAGAGCTTTTAGCAAAATGTTATTCCTATCTGTGTTACCTACAGTTGTGTTCAAAATAATAGCAGTAAGACATCACTAACCTGATCAATCACTGTTTTTGGTAGAAATTATATTTCTACATGGCAAATAATTTACTAGCAGGTGTAGTAGAGTAATACAAATCCAACAGACCCAACAGTCATGACATGCATGCTGCTGATTCTGTGTAATTAAATCACTAATTGAAAGGTGCATGTCCAAAATAATAGCAGTGTGGAGTTCTATTAGTGAGGTCATTCGTTCTTTGAAAAACAGGTGGCAATTATTGCCCTTATTTAAGGAAGGAAGGCAGCAAATGTTGGACATGCTGGTTACAGTGCATTTCTCTCTGAAATTCTGAGGAAAATGAGTCGTTCCAGACATTGTTCAGAAGAACAGCGTACCTTGATTAAAAAGTTGATTGGAGAGGGGAAAACATATAAGAAGTGCAGAAAATGATAGGCTGCTCAGCTAAAATGATCGCAAATGCTTTAAAATGGCAACCAAAACCTAGAAAGGCGTGGAAAAAAGTGAAAAACTACCATTCAAATGGATAGAAGAATAGCCAAAATGGCAAGGACACAGCCAACAATCAGCTCCAGGAAGATCAAAGAAGGTCTAAAGTTACCTGTGAGTACTGTTACAATTAGAAGATGCCTATGTGAAGCCAAGCTATCTGCAAGAAATCCCCGCAAAGTCCCACTGTTGAAAAAAAGACATTTGCTGAAGAGGTTACAATTTGCCAAAGAGCACATTGACTGGCCTAAAGAGAGATGGCGCAACATTTTGTGGACTGATGAAAGTAAGATTGTTCTTTTTGGGTCTAGTGGCCAGAGACAGTTTGTCAGACGACCCCCAAACACTGAATTCAAGCCGCAGTACACTGTGAAGACAGTGAAGCATGGTTGCGCAAGCATCATGATATGGGGATGTTTCTCTTACTACGATGTTGGGCCTATTTATCGCATACCAAGGATCATGGATCAGTTTGAATACATCAGAATACTTGAAGAGGTCATGCTGCCTTATGTTAAAGAGGAAATGCCATTGAAATGGGTGTGCCAACAAGACAATGACCCCAAACACACCAGAAAACGTGCAACATCTTGGTTCCAGACCAACAAGATTGATGTTATGGAGTGGCCAGCCCAATCCCTGGATCTTAATCCAATAGAAAACTTGTGGGGTGACATCAAAAATGCAGTTTCTGAGGCAAAACCAAGAAATAGAGAAGAACTGTGGAATGTAGTCCAATCATCCTGCGCTGGAATACCTGTTCACAGGTGCCAGAAGTTGGTTGACTCCATGCAACACAGATGTACAGCAGTTCTCAGAAACAGTGGTTTATACAACTAAATATTAATTAAGTGATTCAAAGGAAAGCAAAATCTTCAAACATTTTTCAGTTTATATAGTAAATGTTTGAGTTTGTAAAGAAGAATACAAACACTGCTATTTTTTTGAACAGTCTAATATTCACTTTTCTTCAATTTTTTTAGAGGAACAACACAATTTGATATATTTTTCTTCAGGTTTTGATTTAGAATAGAATGTGTAGTGTTCCCAATGCATTTGTGTGTATATAAATAAAAGCTATTAGAAGGATTTTGAGCTTTATTCACTTTTTTTCAACACACTGCTATTATTTTGAACACAACTGTATGTTCAGAAAACTCATCCATACTTTCAAACAGATGTTATAATTCTATGGATTGTAGGTCAATCTAGAAGTCAACAAGTCCTTGTAATCTGTTCTTTGTGTGATCTGGCATAAGGTCCCAGCTCCTATCTAACAGATACTTAGAAGGTTTGTGAAACATACTTTTAGCACATATGCCAATTAATGGAAATTTTGCTAAGGCTGCTATGATTTGGTATTAAATGATCATAACCCATAACTCAAAAATACGCTATATTGCCAAATGTATTGGGACACCCCTCCAAATCATTGGATTTGGGTGCTCCAATCACCTTAATGGCCACAGGTGTATAAAATCAAGCACCTAGGCATGCAGACTGATCCTACAACCATTTGTGAAAGAATGGGTCACTCTCAAGAGCTTAGCGAATTCAAGTATGGTACCGTGATAGGTTGCCACCTGTGCAAGAAGTCTGTCCGTGAAATTTCCTTGCTACTAAATGTTCCATGGTCAACTGTTAGTGGTATTATAGCAAAGTGGAAGCAATGTTAGGCCATGAAAAATGAGTGGGGTGAGCACATACTGAAGTGCACAGTGCACAGAAGTCACCAACTGTCTGCAGAGTCAATCACTAAAGACCTTCAAATGCCATGTGGCCTTCAGATTAACACAACAACAGTGCATAGAGAGCTTTGTAGACTGGGTTTCCCAGTCACCTTCATTCACCAAGTGCAATGCAAAGCGTTGGATGCAGTGGTGTAAAGCACAACTCCAATAGACTCTAGAGCAGTGAAGACGTGTTCTCTGGAGTGACGAATCACGCTTCTCTGTCTGGCAATCCGATGGATGTGTCTGGGTTTGGTGGTTGCTAGGACAACTGTACTTGCATGACTGCATTGTGCCTAGTGTTAAGTTTGGTGGAGGGGGAGTTATGGTGTGGATTTGTTTTTCAAGGGTTGGGCTTGGTCCCTTAGTTCCAGTGAAGGGAATTCTTAAGGCATCAGCATACCAAGACAGTTTTGTCAATTTCATGCTCCCAACGTTGTGAGAACAGTTTGGGGATGGCCCCTTCCTCTTTCAACATAACTGTGCACCAGTGCACAAAGTAAGGTCCATAAAGACATGGATGAGAGAGTTTGGGGTGGAGGAACTTCTCTGGCCTGTCCTGAGCCCCATAGAACACCTTTAGGATGAATTGGAGCAGAGATTGCGAGCCAGGCCTTCTCGTCCGACATCAGTGCCTGACATCACAAATGTGCTTGTGGAAGAATGGTCAAACATTCCCATAGACACACTCCTAAACCTTGTGGGCAGCCTTCCCAGAAGAGTAGAAGCTGTTATAGCTGCAAAGGGTGGGCCAACTCAATATTGAACCATATGGACTAAGACTGGGATGCTAATAAATTTCATGTGCATGTAAAGGCAGGCGTACTAATACTTTTGGCAATATAGTGTATCTTTAATCACCTTTCTTAAATCTTAAAAGCAAAACTCACATAACTTACTTTAGTGTTTGTTGTGCTCCCATTTTTTTTGTGTCTTGAAGAAGTGACAGGAACTTGCACAGCAGCAATACCCCCCTCTTGATTAAAGGAATTGTTGTCATTGGAATGTAATCTGTGAACTTGCTCATCCCCCAAAGGTGACAACAAAGGAGGGGCAATTTTTTCTTCTCTTTTTTTGGCTGATTTCTTCGTCCTAGATAGGAAAAGATAAAAACATATTGGTGTTCTCTAAACCAACCCACCAACCAACAAGGTGTTGAAATTCGCTATGTACTAGAGGTACAACTACTCATAAAATGCTCACTTTTTATAACATATGCTATGCACTAGGGGTTCCAAGTTTTTTTTACACCTTTAAAACTAGCCAAAGAAGAGCAGATGTGTTATGGAGGTGGGAAGACATCTGTTCACTTCCATTTCAATCAGCAGTAAGTCAGGTGGCATAAAGATCTTCTTCTGATGCATATGGTGTAAAAGTACCACCCAGTTTTTACCCAAAGGCAATTAAAATGTCATTCATGCCAAAATTAATATTTCAGCTGTAGGATGGGCCTATGGGACAGATCCCCCCTCTTGTTGCTTATATATTTTGACAACTCCATTGACAAGATCTTCCTGTCAAAATGTGTGTCTTTGTTCCTGACTAACTTGAAGTTTTAGGTGGTCCTACCCAGCTAGAGATGTCCATACTTTTATTGTTTCATTCTATATAATTTAAACAAATAATAATTCAGGGAAATTGAAAATTAGCATCTTACATCTCCTTTTAAATATCCAGTACCTTTGTCCTTCATTCTTAACTTCATGTTCACAGAAGGTCCTTCTGGTTAGTTATGTTAATCACACCTAATCTTTAACTCATATTCTAAATAAACTTTTTCAGCTAAACCACATCATTTTGACACCCTTCTAAATGGTACTGTAGGGAGGAAATTACCCCACTCACGATCTGTAATATCTACGTCTACAGGGGATGCAGCACTTCCTGAGATTATTTCCAAAGAATCCATTTCTGCTACATTCTAGGTTAAAACATTGCAAACAGACAGGCTCCTTATTGCAGGAGTGACATGCTATGTCTCTTCTGCAATAAAACATACTTAACTTCACATTTGCAGTCTGTGTTAGAATGTTCACTGAGTTGCACAGCTCAGTGTATATTCTTTGCACACCTCTGTGCCAGAATGAACTCCTGTATACATTTATGTCATTCTGGCTCAGCCAATCAACATGGTTGAAGATTTCAAACCCAGAGGAAGATCAGGTGAAGATGTCACGAAGGAGTGAGAGGAAGTGAGTTAAAGAGGTACTAAATGTTATTTTTTTTTCATTTATGCATGCCAACATCCACCACAACTTAACATGCATGGTATGTGTGCACAAACATTTACTTAGTTCCTATTTACTGCCACCAGTTCCAGGTTTCTGGGTGCAGCATCTATAACTTCCTTTTTAGGTGAGAATGCACATTCACCCAAGTCAAACAGAATAGGTGACAGCTGTCAGTTAGCTTGCAGGAGTGGGCAGTAGGGAGATGGCTTCCAAGGGTTGTGTGTTTGAATGGATGCACTTTCATGCAGTCCACATTCTGGCTGAAGGTGTGCATGCAAAGAAGTCTCTAAAGAACCCTTCAGGGGAAAAAATAAACCCTTAATTTGAATATTGTGACCAGCACTGGTGCTACCAGCTGAAGCAGCAGAAAAAAAGGACTTTGGAACAACAGCAGTCAGCATATCAGCTAAATATTCACCCTAGCAAGTGATATTTATTTTAAAAATGTATACTTGGTTCTGGTTTAACTCTCTAATCTACATGCTTACTCTGGGTCAGTGGCTCAAAAAGCACTTAAAGCGGTTAAAGTGGAGTTCAGGCCCCCGCCCCCCCCCCCAAAAAAATCAGTAGCTACAAATACTGTAGCTGCTGACTTTTAATATTAGGGCACTTACCTGTCCAGGGATCCAGCAGTGTCCTAAACCCAATCCAATTCTTCAATTCAATTCACAAAAACGGCCAAATGTGGCAGTGGAGGTGGCAGAAAAAACGGAGCTTCCACTTTTGGGTGGAACTCCGCTTTAAGCCAGGAAAGTATTTTTACAAGGAGGTAACAATAATTTCCCCTGCATTTCCCTAAGTTCTGATTTCCTTTAAACTAACCCAGTATTTGCCAGTGTGATAACTTAACTAGGACTGCTCTGAAATTAACATAAAACAGAGAAGTAAATATTTATTTTGCATCTTTAAGTAAAGGTTGGGGGATCCTTATGAACTATAAAAGGTTTTTTTTTTCTGTCCAGGAACTGAAATGTGTAGTATTGTAAGTCAAAAGCATCTGGCATTAGTGAATAATATTGAAAAAGTGTCAGCGCTCAGTTGAACTGAGTCACATTGAAGTAATATTATTAAATCATTATTTTTTTCCTATAGCATCCAACAATGTTTACAGTATACTATGTAAGAGAAATAGACCATGTGAAGATCTCTCAAACTATTCAGCATTGTAAGTATCTCTGTCATTTACTACCTCCAACTGGATTTAAATACTCCCAGTGATTTATAAAAGTGACAAACCTTTCCTCTCCCTTTCATGAAAGGAAAAGCATCATTAGCCGACATTAATTGTAACATATCGTTGAACTGATTGTTAGCTAGCTTTGGGCTGTAACTACTCTAAAAATTGAGTTTTAATTGCAATAATAACCAATTGTGAATGAATTTATTGGAATAATTAAACATGTTTAATGGCTTAATTTGCCAACATGTTTTGCTAATTGAAATGCAACGACAAACAGTTAATAAAGCTGAAGAAGCAGCCTTTCCTTCGATGGATTTATGTATGGAAGGCAAAGAGCTGCCACATACCTGCATGTCATTTGTGTACAGTAAAATTTATTTAATATGTATGACAATTATCAGTCTGTGAATTCATACTAGTCAGAGACCTTTACTGGCAATGGAATGCATTAAATCATTCCCTGCGCTACATTAAATTTTTTATTAGCTGTTGATAACAGCAGCCAATTCTAATACCATCTTTCTCACTACATTGATCTATGTAACGTTAAAATATATCAAAAGCCAAACTTTTTGTTTAGTTTTGGATAAAAGAGGATAATGGTCAAAACCTTTGTTAATTTGTTGGCTGTCTGTGCTGTTGGAGAAGTTTCCCATCCTATCCTGGAGACCAAGTAGAAAGTGATTGGAAACCTACCTAAAGTGAGGGTAAATCCCCACTTAGATAGCCAGTCATCCCTGTTACAAGGATTCTCCTCACCGCCAGTTTCAGTTAAAACTGTAAAGTTTTGAAATTCCCCCCCACTTTCTGTCCCCGATGGGAACACAGGAAGCAATAAAAACCTGACATAGGTTCTACCCTTCCATACTTAAGTCTAGCCAAAACTTAAAAGAAAAAATGATGGCGTTAGATACACTTTAATTTTTATTGCAGTCTAACAAGTCAGTCAGAGCATAGGCATATTCACCTTAAAAACATTTATGGGTCAGTATTTAAGCCACTAGGGTTAGAGGGACAGCACTAAGACTCAAAAGCTACAAACTATGAAAATGTTTTTTCTCTCTTCCAGCCACCTTCTTTGGCAAATTTAACAAGAGAACTGTAGGAGTAAAGGGTTCCTATAGCCGCTAGCAGTAATGGCATATTAAAGATGACATGCTGTTTGTACCCAGCATGGATCGACTTGGGTACTATTAGCCTGGCCATAGATGGATCAAATCTTGGCTGGTCCCTGCGGAACAAGATTTGATACATCTATAACTGGCTTAAAAGATAGCAGTGCTGCCCATAGCAATAATGTATTGTGTGACCAATAATTACCATTCAAATTCCAAGCTACATAGTTAGTCTGGCTGAAAAAAGACAAAAGTCCATCCAGTTAAACCATTAAAAAAAAAAGTTATAATCCTATACCCACAGTTGATCCAGAGGAAGGCAAAAGAAACCCAGCAAAGCATGATCCAATTTGCTCCTGCAGGGAATAAAATTCCTTCCTGATCCCCCAAGAGGTAATCCGATATTCCCTGGATCAACTTCACCTATAAATGTTAGTATCCAGTTATATTCTGTGTATCTAAGAAAGATTCCAGGTCTTTTTTAAAGCAATCCACTGAGCTGGCCAGAACCAACTCTTGAGGGAGTCTATTCCACATTTTCACAGCTCTCACTGTGAAGAAACCTTTCCGTGTTTGGAGATTAAATTTCTTTTCCCCCAGATGTAAAGAGTGCCCCCTTGTCCTCTGTGATGACCTCAGGGTGAATAGCTCTACACCGAGTTCACTATATGAACCACTGATGTATTTATAAATGTTGATCATATCCCTCCTTAATCTCTTCTCAAGAGAGAATATATTCAGTTTCTCTAAGCTTTCCTTATAGCTGAGCTCCTCCATGCCTCTTATCAGTTTGGTTGCCCTTCTCTGTACTTTCTCCAGTTCCCCAATGTTCTTGTGAATTGGTGCCCAAAACTGAACTGCATATTCCAGATGAGGTCTCACTAATGATTTGTACAGGGGTAATATGATATCTCTCTCTCTGGAGTCTATACCTCTTTTAATACAAGAGAGGATTTTGCTTGCTTCCGTTGAATTCTTTGATCCAATCATGTGCATGCAAAAATGCTGTTTTTTTTTTTTCCTTGCATGTTCCCCTCAGATCTAGAGCAACTGCACTTTCAGTGCACTTGCAGTGCACAGCCTATTTGCCTTTAGGAAATCAACTCCTATAACGTTCCTACCAACAAAATAATAAACACTGATTTGGGTTATTTTCATAAAAGATGTGGCAGAATACATTTTGGCCTACTTTTGTGTAGAAAGATTATTTATTTGCAAAATGTTATAACAGAAACGAAGAAACATGCATTTTTTTTTCAAAATGTTCACCTTTTTTAATTTATAGCGCAAAAAATACAAAAAAACACAGTGGTGAATAAACACCACCAAAATAAATCTCTATTTGTGTGACAAAAATGATAAAACTTTCATATGGGTACAGTGTTGCATGACTGTGTATTGTCATTTAAAGTGCAACAGCGCTGAAAGGTGTAAATTGGCCTGGGCAGGAAGGGGGTAAAAGTGCCCGATAGGCAAGTGGTTAAACAACAACTACTTTTATATCATGTGATACATCAGATGTTAGGTACATTATTATATCTTTAAACCACATGTATTTTCATAAGTCTTTATTTATAAACAGGCTAATAAGTACACCCAAATAACTGGACATACTGCTCTTATTATAAAACAAAATATTATATAAAACATATTATAATGTAACAATAAAAAAATATATTAAAAATTTCAAGAGCAAAAACTACTCTATGACATGCAAATAAACACTGTCGAAACACATATTTAGGAAGAAAAACATACTCACTCTTTAGTGCCAGTTGTCCTATTAGGAATAGGAGAGATGCATGGAGGGAGTAGACAGGGGGTGATAGAGTCATCCAAACGCTGTTTCTTGCTGTCACTCTGTATGTCACTGCTTTCAGATTGCTTTAAATTAAATCGGTGAGACAGTTTATTAAATGCATTGCCCCCAACCCCAAGAGTTGCTTTGTTTTTTTCACATGAATATATTGATGGAAACTGGAAGCATACTAGAACTCATTCATGGATTTTTGGAAAGCCAACAAAAGCCAAGGCCTAGGGAGACACGACTTAAGGGAAATGTTCTTTTAATCAGAATGCCCTTTCTTATTTTTTTTTCACATCTTTTGTTTATAAATTGCAGTTGCTAAATGCAATTACAGTATCTGAGTTGTACATGACTGTGAATCCAAAAAATTGTGTGGTTGTACAGGTAACCTATTAGGATTGTAATTTGATTGCAATCCACCTAATGCAAACAAGCAGAATATTTCACTGTTAGGTTTACAGGAAAGGTTTGAAAACTAAAGTTAACACAAAAAAGAGAGCTACTGTACCATCTGTTCGATTTGAATCACAGACTTTTTAAATTTTGATTCAACATTTATAATGATTCTCACAATTATACTATCATATATTAAACTAGCATGTAAAGATAACAAGCCTCAAGGCAAACACAAGCTTTAGTTCGCTAAGTGGTTGCTTAATTTATTACACTGAAAAACATACAAGTACAGACAAGCATTTTATAATAGCTACTGTGTATGACTGGTTAAAATTCAGCACATATATAGACTTACATTTTATTGTAGCTAACCGGCAATATTTAACAAAACCAAAACTAATATTTATGTTTCCACTAGAACATAATGCTGGTGCCAATCTATTGGCCATTAGGTTCTCCACCTGTTTTTTCTACATTATGGGTGTTGCATTGGGAGGCTTTGAGCACCATCATCTGGTTGCCATAATGGTGGAATGGTTGAGTGGAATTGGCTGCACTGAGAGATACATCTCACCAAAGGTATGCCCATATGACCAAACTTACATGCTCAAAAAGACTTGATTACATGGCTCTATATAATAAATGTAAGAATCACTATCAATAAAATCCAAAGAACATTTCTATCCAATCAAATTAAAAAATAAAATTGATTATCAAGGAGATATTATAGGAATTGTACATTTCACATACAAAATGTTATTTTAACATCCTGTTCATTAAAACCAATTAATACCAACCCACCTTTTAGAATATATTCCTCTGGGGTAATAATATATGTAGATTAGCAATATACTATGTCATACACTATGGGGTTGATTTACTAAAACTGGAGAGTGCAAAATCTGGTGCAGCTGTGCATAGAAACCAATCAACTTCCAGTTTTTTTGTCAAATTTTAATTGAACGAGCTGAAGTTAGATGCTGAATGCCTACCATGCAACCATGCACAGCTGCGCCAGATTTTTCACTCTCCAGTTTTAGTAAATCAACCTCTATGCCCCATATACCAAACAAGGAATAATATACAACATAAAACAACATATTAAAGGTTATTTGTAACAATCTTAGAGCACCACTCAAAGTCAAAGAAAGGTCAATCCCTCTGGTCCTCTGAGATAGGGGTGCCAGCTCCAGTGTTCACTCATCCTGCAGTGATTGAATCATGATGAAGGGAAAGCCACACTCCCAGCCTGAATGAAGTGTGAGCAAATTAAATATCCTCAGAAAGTTCTCCTACACAGGCCACACCCCCTGATGTATTTTGGCACCCACTAGGGCTTAGTCATAGAGGTCATAGATGCATCAAGGGGGATGTGGCCTGTGTAAAAGAATTGCCTGAAGCAATTTCATATACTCACGCTTCAGTCTACCTGGAAGTGTGGCTTTCCCTTCATCATGGTTCAACATAGTAAAGGTGTTCAAAATGTATAGTTTCAAGATTTATAATGCTTGCAGTGATGTTATATCCACAGTGTTGGTAAAAATATCAACTCCACTTTTTGAAGAATGCAGGATAATTGTTGTCCACAGTGAGGCACATTTGGCAATTGCTATTTAATAGTTGTTGCAAAATATAACCAAGCACAGCAGCTCTATTGTGGCCAGGAATGTGCTGACACACTCCAGTGTGGTAAAAAAAAAAAACGAATTATTGTTATGTACCCAAGTTCACATGTGGTCAGCCAATCATCTTGGGGAACATAAGCTAAAGAGGGAACTAATACTTACCAATATCCTACTACTTTCCCTTGGATGCTGGTGATTCCTTGAAGAAACTAACCACATTTGCAGTTTTGTTTATACATTTGGATAGAAACTTTCTTTAAATATTGAGATTTTATCAGTGTTGATTTTTATATGTATTATTGTCAGTCACGTAAACAGACCTTCTAGAGCTTTTCTTTGGTTTAATGGCATAAGGTGACTTTAGATAGCTGAGCCTTGCACTTTCAGTTTGTTTTAGTTTGCTTTCTAAATATGCTGGCAGTCAAGATTAGTCAAGATTAGTCAGTCTTTCTACAGATCTGGAATACCAGAAATACTTTTTTTTACTTAAAGTGCATCTAACACCAATCATTTTTTTGGGAATGGATAAAAGCCCTGTAATTTCCTTTGTCATCTTAGTGTTATTGGACGGTTTTCCTTAATTTCTTGTCCTGTAGACACAAAAGGAAGTAAGAGGATATAAATCCAAAATGAGTCAACTCCCCTCTTAGAGAGCTGTCACTAAAGCAAGGGTCTCCATTTAGATGTCCTCTCTATTTCTGTTACAATGACAACTCAGAATTTTAGATTTTCCCTTACTTCCAGTCCCAGAGACAGTAGTCACCAGGAGAAATAAAGAAGCTGAGTCACCGCAGTGGGGACACAGTCTGTAGAAAAATTGGATGGAGTTCCAATCATTGTATACTCTTTTCAAAATAGGAAACGTTTTGACTCTAGAAACACTTGTAATTTTGGTGCCTACAGGGATTGGCTGTTAATCCAGGATAAAGCCTAAATTACACCAATGAATATTGATCACACTACTAAGCAAATAAAAATCCCTGCTGCTCTCTGATGATGAGCACTACAAAAACTGAAATATACAAGATTGTTTTTGTTGGGTGGGTGGGGGTAGAACTAGGAAGGGTTGTTTCTAGGAGTAATCCATCCAATCAGTCACATCTACTTGTTGCTGCACAGCAACAGCAAACGTGAATATCACATTGTGGTTTAGGCCTTGGCAATACACTGCATATAATGTGTATACATAGAAAAAAACATGTTTTACATTTTAGATTAATATGAAAGGGTTAGAACTCCTGTCAGCTTTTTATTGTCCTCTGTGTTCCCACTAGGTACTGTAGATCTACGCTTTATGTGTGCCTTAGTTGCCATTGTCGGAAAGACAGAAAGTGATGAGAAATCTAAAATGTTATACCTGTCACCAGAACAGGAGGTGAGGGTTAATGGGGACACCTGTTCTGGTGACAGCTGTCTAAGAGGTGAATTCCCCCAACTTGACAGCAAAAGATAGCAGGGCAGGGGTTTTTATGCTCCCACACGCTATCCAAAAAAAAAGAAAGAAAAAGTTTTAACTATTGGCTATACATAAAACATGGAACTAAAAAGTCTCACTCTCTGTACCAAACTCAGAAGTTATGTCTGCTTTTTTATTTAAAAGAATGAAGAAAATTCAATCAGATATTATAATTTTGTAGACAATAACAACTTAGTGAGGTGCTATGTTGAATTAAATCTAATAACCACTTGAACACTGCCAATATAATTAGCTTTTTTGAGCCTTGGGTTCAGAGATCTTCTTTCAGTGTGTTACAGTTAACTGGTTGAAGAATGTATACCATTCAACTAATGGGATTTAATGAGTCTCCAACAGATTTGACCTTCTTTTTGTGTATGTAGGTCAGCTCTGCTCCTTATGAGTCAGGTAATGAAACACATAACATCCATATAATCTACTGGAGATACTGTTCAGGGATACTGTAATGCTGTCAACACTAACATTTGAGACCTGGAGGCACAGTCACTTAAGCACACATTGCCCTTCTTTGGCTGTGTGCACAAAATATAGTATGCAGTATCACTTTTCACTAACTCATTAACCTCGTTCATTATGATAACTAATCAAAAGGATATTACGCTAAAATGTGGTTGTTCAATTCTTGAACATATTGTACATACAAGGGCCATATTGATGGCCATATGGTACAAATACGTTTCTCTCATCCAGGTCAATGCCAGGCCTTATTTTATTGTTATGTATTATTACTGAACATCTCTGTGAGAAGTGCATAGTATAACTCAACTCTCTAAACAAAAAATGGCAATCAAGATCTATGGTTTGCATGGTTCTCCAATGATTGACAATTTGTTACTTCTTTATTTAGGAGATTCACAGTTTATCTAGAAAGTATTGGTTATTTAATACTGTATTCTGTTAATTCAACCATCTCTCATTATAAGCAGCAAGGCAATTCCTTCTTTAGATTACATACATATTCAAGTGATATAGCATTTGTCTTGCCAGTTCCCTATCAATAATCTAATAAAATTTGGTTATAGAATGTATGGGCAAGCATGAATACAAGCTGGGCTTATTACCAATTCGTTATTTTAAGGACATATAATTGTGAGAACATAAAAAACGTAAAAACTTTTCATTATATTAAAAAATAATATTTACAGTCAGCTACTGTATTCCAGAAGTACCAAACAAATCTATATTGCCCTAGATCACAGTTATCAAAATGGTGGCCCTCCAGCTGTTGCCAAACTACAAGTCCCATGAGGCATTTCAAGATTGACAGTTACAAGCATGAGGCAAGATGGGACTTGTAGTTTCACAACAGCTGGAGGGCAACCAGTTTGACACCCCTGCCCTAGATCAATGTAAGATTTTATATTAAAAAAATTAATTTCTATAAGGTCATAACATGTCATTCCTAATTAAATTTGGTACTTAATAAAGTATTTCTAATGAATTTTTTCACATTGAACAGAGCAAAAAAAGGGTTAAAACTCCTGTGCATTTTTATTATGTTCCATTGGAGAGATTTCACTTCCTGTCTGGTAGACACAAGTAAAAAGTCAAACTTAGTTGTCACTAAAACAAGTGTCCCAGTTGTAAGATTCCTTCTCTACTGCTGCTATGGCTGCATGTCAAACTTTGGGATTTTTCCTAACTTTCAGTTCTGGTGTCACAGATCACCAGGAAAATAAAGGGAAAATTTTCCTTACCAAGACACAGACAACAATAAAAACCTGTGAGAGGTGGAAGTAGGAGTCACTGAATGCAAATGTAGATTGATTTCAGAGTCAAGATATAAATTATATTTACAAAAGGCTCGGGGTTAGCAGGTCATATAAACTGAGAGGATTCTGAGGGCCACCTTAGTTAAATCCAAGTGGTAAAGAAAAAAAAAAAAACACAGGCCAAATCCAGGCCAATTAAGAATTAAAATAAGAGCATTAAGAGCAGGCTCCAGCAGCTAACTTAAAATCCTTGACAATACCTAGATTCTTATCAGCTCTGATAAATCTGGTAAGAAAAAAGCTGCTTTTAATTCCAAATCCCATGGTTTTATTAGTTTTTCTAACTTTTTTTGTATTGATTTTTTTTTTGTATTTTTCAGCTTTAAAATAATGTTTTTGGAGATATTGTAAGCTTTTTTTCCCCTAATATCCTGTTCATAGGTTTTTTATTGCTGTCTGTGCCTGTATCCTCCCCAGGTATTTTAAGCCCTTTAGAACCCCTAAAACATGTTGGCTTGTCCTTTTAAAGTGTAATGAAAAAAAGTGTAATGAAAAAAAGACACTTCATGATATTTAAGCAGCCCATCAGCTGCACTGATCGAACGAGGAAGATCAGACAGGGCGGTTGTACAGAACTGTACATGCTGTATTAAAAACCTTAGGTTTGCTCTGTAATATAAGAGTTTGGCCTAGCCTGGAAACCTCCATGTATTTAAAGGATACAGTGTCATGTGCCCTAAAAACTATGTTATGAAAGGAGCGCAGGTAGAGAGCTTAGTGTTTAACCTCTTTCCCCCCACCCTATAGCAGAATTACTGCTACAGGGTAGCAGGGCTGTGCAAAGTCATGTATACATTCATGATTTGCATTCCCGGGTAGAGGGGCTGCACTGCCCTACCCGCACCGCCATTGGCGGCTATGGATGTCAACACAGCACTCTATTCTGCAAGCAAGGACATGCCGCTGTGTATTTCTCTGCACAGCATATCTCCCTAGTAAAACAAGGGAGAATGTTACCAGCACACCGAGGATCAGGAATATGGGTCCAAAAGTTTAAATGAACGATCACATAGTTACAGCAAGGCAACGTTTCGGAGTCTCGCAAGACCCCTTCATCAGGGTCACATGCCTGCAAGACTCCGAAATGTTGCCTTGCTGTAACTATGTGATCGTTCATTAAAACTTTTGGGCCCATATTGGTGATCCTCGGTGTTCTGGTGACATTCTCCCTTGCTAAGGTGCGGGCTGTGTTCTCCTCTCCTGTTCGTGGAGTGATCCTCCATAAAGCAGATGGCACATCGGCATGTTCAGTGTTTGATTCATTTCCTGGCTCCCTGCTGCTGAGAAATTAGAGAAGATGGGGGAGGGGTAATCAATTGCGCACAGACTAATCCAAGAGCAATTCTGTGTCATCTGCTGTATGGAGGATCGCTCCACTGACAGAAGAGCACAGTACAACTAGCACCTCTATCTGGTTTCCCACCTGTAAGTTTGGGGGAAGAGAGCTTACAGACCGGGGGAACAGTACAGAATAAAAGGAGGGGGAGAGGTACCAATCATTTGTGCTGAAATGAGAGGTTTGTGCAGGAGGGGGGATGGGGGCTATTCGTGCTGGGAAGGGTATTCGGGATGATTGTGTTAGGAAAAGGGGATTGGGGGGATTTGTGTTAGAGGGGGGGATTGGGGAGGGAGTTGTGCTAGGAGGGGGGATTGGGAGAATTTATGCTAGGAGTGGGGGTTTGGGGGAGAGGACTTGAGCTAGGGTAAAAAATGTGAAGGGAAAGAGGATGTGTGCTAGAAGGGATGAAGTAGAACTACAGGTGAAGTTTTTTTTGGGGGGTTGCAAGTAGTTGGTCTTGCCTAGGGCACAAAATAGTCTAGCACCGACCCTGTTTACTGGACAGCATTCTGTGGGAGACCGAACCCTGGGAAAGGCAAGTATTTGAGCACTCCCCCGGATAGCAGATAGAGCACAAAGGTTTTCTAATAGGCTTAGGTTTGCTTTAATGACCACAGAAAAAGGAAAAGGAACCAGAAAAGGAACATGAAGAATATACAATGGATATACACTGGTAACTGATAATTATGATTTCTATCCTTCAGCTAAAGTTGTGTTGGCAGCTGCCAACAAGTAAGACAGAAAATTACATTTTAACTGGGATTAAGATGGTTGCCCCCACTAATATATAAAAAAACACTATTCATAAATACATACTTTTTATATGGGCATTATATTTTACATCTGCTTTTTGAAAATACTGTTATGTAGGAATACATTTCATAAGTAAATATGAAATACACTTGTTAAACAAGGTGTCAGCACATTAACTCCACTTTCTCTAATGCACTTACCTTGTGCTTCCTTCTTGATTTTGTAGCATTTTTCTCGGGGGCTGTAGCTGGTGTTTGAGGCTTATGTTTAAAGCCTGTGTCTCTTGCTTCATTCTTTAAAGCTTCACTCTCAAATATCTCATGGCCTGGTATTCTGGTTAAAAGACTAAGATCTATTTTCACCCATAATGACTTAAGCTCTTCAATCTCTCTTAAAGGGGAAAGCAGTTCACTCTGAACAATAGGCAGTGGTGAAAATGGCTCCTCCAGATCATTATGTGTCTGGTCTAGTGATATGCTGCTGCTATTGCTTGTTAAGCTGCTCACACTTAAGATGTTGCTGCTGCTGCAGTCCTTTGGCTTCACTGGATTAATGGGCCCAGTCGTTGATACCTTAACTTGCATGACTTCATCATGGTCAGTGTTGGAATCTGATGCAGAATCTGTTTCAATAAATTCCCTTGATTTAGGAACAATTTTATTTGCCCCTCTAGCTTTCTTTTTTTCTGACGTACTTCCAGTACTAGTCCTTTGTTCCTTTCGTGGTGCTGTTTTAGCAACAGTGGTTTTTGTCCTTGCTTTTGGTGGCTCTTGGATTTCTCGTAAGTCCTTCTCTTTGGGAGTGCTGCTGGTGGGGTTTGGTTTGTTCCATGTGTAGTCTTCACCGCTGGAAGTTCTTTCAACCCTTTTTGGTTGTTTCTTGGCAACAGCCCTTTGTGTAGTAGGTTCATTGTGGGCTGGTGATTTCTGCTTTACGTTTTTTGCTTCCTGTGGTTTTTGGGTTACTCTAGTTTTGCCTTTTTCTCTCACAGGACTCAACAACTCCCTCTCTTTGGGCAAAGAATCAGGCTGAGGGATAATATTGTCAAGTTCTCGCTTACTGTCTCCCTCAATCTGTTGGTTGTTCGGAGCCTCAGAATTGTTTTCCGAATGCACATCATTTTGGTTGTTAATTATGGTTTTATTGTGTGGATTGACTTTATTTAACCACTTATCCAGCTGCCATTTGTTTGTGGAAGGTGGTTCAGGCTGTAGATTAAACCAAAATTATATTTCAGTGTTTCAATGAAATGCATACCATGAAATACTTTATTTTAGATTAAACTGATACTTTTCACAGAAACGAGAGTCTATTTATAGTAATAGCTAATTAGTGAGCATGCTGGATGCGTTCATTTTAATTTACATCTCTGCCCTAGAGAAATCTAACAAAACAAAAATGCTAAATAATCCCAATAAATGATACATTTTTTATAATGTGTGTTTTATATAATTTCTCTCCTGAATACTAGGCAAATAGTGTTCAATGCTTTTATAGTATATTAGATACATAAATATATTTTCAAGAGAATGTAACAACAAGGTTAAAATAAATACTCTGATAATTAGATCTGTTTTGGAATGTGGAATTTATGTACTGTATATAGCATAATTAGCACTGTTTTTGAACAGTTGCAGCACACAAAAATGCAAAGATTAGGGTAAAACAAGTATGAAAGTCAAAACTGTCAGACGTTTTAATTAGAGCTTAAAAATATCCTAGGGTACATTGGATTTAAACTAAAGAATAACTCTGGCTTTATTATTTATTATTTTTTCAAGGGACAAGAATCATTTAAGCAATTAGCGTCTTAGAGTACTTTTAGGTGGAGGATTATTAGGGATGTATTACATTCTCTTAAACATACATTACAGTCTTTTATACATACATTCTGCTGAAATCCATATATTGTTGAAATCTTTTTTTTATTAAGCTCTTTCTGGCATCATCTGAATTCAATGTGAATGACAACAAATTTTGGCAGGCTATAGCAAAGCAAGTGGTAAGAGATGGAGAACCTCTCAGTAATCTGATGATGGTAGATATGCATATAGAAGCTGCTGAGGAGAAGTGTAAATACATACTTATCCTGCAACCATTTTCTTTATACAGAGTAAAATAAACAGATTTTGATGCAGGGAGACTTTAAACAACTCTTCAAATAGTAAAGAAAGATCAATATTCTACCTATTCTTTTACAGGTTTGTGTTTTTTTTAGAGTCACATAATGGGAAAAAAAACTGGAGTGGGACAGGAAAAGGGAGGAAAAATGGGAGAGGAGATGAACCCCTAGGACCCTTAAAGTGGTTCTAAAGTCAAATCATGTTTTACCGTAATGCATTCCCTGCACCGAGAGAAAAAATATCCCACCAGTTGTTTCCCTGCCCACTCTTCCCCCAACATGTACCCAAGTCCCCTCTCAATCCCGTGCTATCTGCAGAAGTGCCAATGTCTCTTCCTGCTCTCACAGAATGGACCCAGAGTAGTAAGAGCCATAGGCTCCTCCTCTAAGGAAGGAGCGGGGGACATGGCCAAGATGTGCTGTGTGTGTGTGCATTGATGCACACAGCCCAGCTCAGGAGCATGCCCTCATAAGGCCCCCATAACACAAAGCTTGCTATGGGGGCATTGGGAAACAGAAGGAGTGGACAACACTGACAGGGACCGCTAAAGAAGAGCTATAAGGCCACTCTGAGCAATTTGCACAAAGCAGGTAAGTATAAGCCTCTTTTTTACTTTAAGAACAAAATAGCCTTTAGAACCAATTTAAGGGATCGTTCAAAGCACAATGTGGTGCACTGAGATGCAGTCTTTTTAGTGCTATGTCAGGTAGCCCGTTAATTTTGAATGAGCTGTCAATGGACCTCAAAATATATCATGCCCTTTTTTACATTTCCAAATGTAGTGCATTATAACATATAATAGGGCTTTGCTCTAAATAACATATGCATTGCAGTGCACTGTAAATGTTCTTCAGTGTGCAATTGAAAATGAATGGCAATGCACCTTCACATAACCAATGTGTTTCTGAGAGTTACAGTAACATACGTTGTTGTGTGAGGGAGCCCTTATGAGAAGTAAGAGACATGTCTCGTTAGCTCTAGCTGTAGTAAGTGTATCAGTATTTTATGATTGTTAAAAATAACAGAAATTTTATTTTTTTTAAATTAAATTCACTTAAAGTGGTTGTAAACCCTTACATATACCCAGTGAAGGGACCAGCCTCAGGGAATACACACAGATGAAACAAATCCTCCTACATAAGTTGTACCTGTCTTTCTGCAGTCATCTCTTCTCTGCATCCATTCAAAGTCCAGAATTTATACAGCTTGTCTCAGCATTCAGAAAACAAGGAATGGTTAGCTGAAATTACACACTGCAGAGCTCAGTGAGGACAGCTCTGAGAACGGATTGGAAGGAAGAGATACACAGGAACCGAGCTGGGACTGTCAATCTGCTGGAGGTTCCTCCACTGTCACCATTTTTTTCTTGGTGTGAGGAAGACTTGACAGAAGTAATTCATGCTGACAGCAGAGGAACAAAGCGGCAGAGAGAAATGATACTTAGTCCTGTGGATAGAGATAGGTACACACTATAGAAAGATATGTTTTATTCATATTTTATGTATAAAGTTTACAACCACTTTTAAGTAAACTTCACTTCACTTAAATTATATATGGCATGGACATATAAAGAGTAATAAAAGGCCCACATTGCTTACCTTGGGACAACCACTGCTCAAGGATCCCTCCTTTGCAAGACAGATATTTTATTGTCCTTGATTATATGATCCTTGTAAAAGGTTAACATTAGCCTTCTGCACTCTGATCCTCCCCTTTAACACTGCGGTCCCCAACCTCCCCAGCACCAGGGACCGGCCTAGTGAAACACAACCCCGCCATGGGCCTGTGGGGGTCAATGGATGGTTGGGTGCAGCCTGTCACCTCACAGCACGGGGTGGGGGTTTACAGCCTGTCACCTCATCTGCCACTCACATATTTATGTTTTTTTTTTATATTAACAATTTTTATTGGTTTTCAAGTAAATCAAGTGTTACAGAAAACAAAGGGAAAATAAAACAAGCAAAACATAGAGGTACATCGATGGCTAAGATTACATTTGGTCAAGACCAGTGGAGTCATATAGTAACAATGCAAAAAAAAAATCATGGTCTTACAATTTGGGCTGGCATAGAGGAAGAGAAGGTATCCCACGGGAGCCAAATCCTCTCAAATACAGCAAACGAACCACTATGTGAAGCAGTCAAACACTCCATCTGTCTTACATCGGTAATAAGTTTATACAAAGTTGGCAATGAAGGTGGGGTAGAGGATAACCAACACATAGGAATACTTCTCCTGGCCGCGGTTAGCACATGTGCAGCAAGTTTTCTGGCTAGTTTAGAAAGACCCGGGAATGGCAAGCCCAACAAAAAATGCAGTGGGTCAAATGGGGAGAGAAACTTGCAACAATGATTGCAACAAGGAGCGGACCTCTTCCCGAAAAGGAGCAATGGAGCTGCAGGTCCAAAAAATATGATAAAGAGAGCCAGAAGCTCTACTACAGCGCCAGCAGGCAGGAGAAGCACTCGGATTATAAACATGAAGAACTTCCGGTGTTTTGTACCACAACATCATAATCTTGTATATGTTTTCCTTAAAAACCACACAAATAGAGGATTTAGATGCATTATCCCATATTTTCTTCCACGTTAATAAGTCAATATCACGTTGTATAAATTGAGACCACCTACGCATATAAAGGTGAGCATCATTGGACAAAAGGGGGGGCCTCCATAAGAAGTTTATAGGTGCTAGAGACAATACCCCTTTGATGGGGACCTTCCATACATAGACGTTCGAAGGGGGTAGGTTTCCCCAAGCTCAATGAGGGTGATAGAGTAGAGAAAAAGTGGCGTATTTGAAGGTATATATATAGATGACGAGAGGGTAGAGAGGCTTTCCTCTGGAGATCCGAGAATGAATGTAACTTACGAGTCACCGGGTGTACCAGGTGACGTAGTTGAAAAGGTTAGATACTACCCAGAGAGACATCCGGGACATGGCCATATTGTCTGGAAGATTAGGGTTATAAAGGATATTTGTCAGTGGGGAGCATTGAGAAGCCAATGTGAATTTAGCCTTACATTTCTGCCAAACAGTCAATGAAAAAAGCATGGGGCCTAGGAGTAAGTGGCGAAAAGAATGGACATCCACCGCCGAGGTCGACCAGAGAAGGGAACACAGATGAACTGGGGACAATTGTAAAGACTCGATCTCAGTCCATGTATTGGGAGGGTAGTGAATGGACCAGGACATAAGAAAGCGAAGGTGGGTTGCAAAATAGTATGTTATTATATCCGGTGCTCCCAAGCCTCCCCTAGAACGTGGGGAAAGGAGAACAGAACGAGCAATCCTGTGCCGCCTGTTGTGCCAAATAAAATGTAAGAAAGATTTCTGAAGGGAGTGAAGCTTGGACATAGGAACGGGTACGGGGAGGGTTGCAAACAGATATAAAAGTTTGGTAGCACGGTCATTTTTAAGACATTAATACGACCGAGGAAAGAGATAGGCAAGGCATCCCAGTGTTTCAGGGAGCGAGAAATTGCTATAAACAGTGGGGGAAAATTGGCGTCGTATATGGATTGGTAAGAGGAAGTAAGGTTGGTGCCTAAATATTTTAAAGAGTGGGTGCACCACCGGTAGGGAAAGGCTGCCTGAAGGGAGGAAAGAACAACAGGAGAAACATGTATTGGAAGTGCCTCAGTTTTGGACGTGTTGACCTTATAACCTGATAAAGCCCCAAATTGTTTAAAAATTTTGTGCAAAATGGGTAAAGAGGTGTGGGGACTCGTAAGTGTGAGGAGGATGTCATCTGCAAATAATGATAATTTGTACTCATGAGAATGGGATTGTATCCCCCGAATATCCGGATTCGACCTGATGGCAACAGCCAATGGCTCCAGGCAGAGAATGAACAGCAGGGGAGAGAGTGGACATCCCTGACGAGTGCCATTTGACATCTGAAAGGGGGGTGAGAGAAAGGAAGCTAATCTGACCTGTGAGAAAGGGGATGAATAAAGGGCCTTCAAAGCTGCTACAAATGAACCCCTAAAACCAAATCTCTCCAAAACCATGAACATGTAAGGCCAGCTTAAACGGTCAAAGGCTTTTTGGGCATCCAAGCTCAATAACACAGTAGGGGTAGAGGAACGGTTGACCAGATCAACCAGATCAATAGATCTCCTGGTGTTATCTGCAGCCTGTCTGGCAGGTACAAAGCCCACCTGATCTCTGTGTATGAGCTTGGAAATAATACCGGATAGTCGATTGGCCAAGATTTTAGTAAAAATCTTATAATCGGAATTAAGTAG